GCTCTTACAGCTGTTGCACAATTGTTGTAGCAAATAAGCCTAAATAAGAGGAATATATTCTGACAAAGGAACATATATGAAAAAATATTGATATCGGTTATTAGCCAAATAAATTTGAACATATTGGCATATTGGATATCGGCCAAAAATCCAAAATTGTGCATCCCTACAATAAAATACTAAATCAAATCACACTGTGTTAAAAGCCAGAGAAAACAGATGAATTTTGAGCAGAGATTTAAAAACTGGAAGTGAGTGGCTAATGTTGAGGGGCAGATTGTTCCAAAGTTTAGGGCCCATGGCTGAAAAAGCCCGATCTCCTCTGAGCTTCGATCTTGTTTTTGGAACAGACAAAAGCAGCTGATCAGATGACCTCAGGGCCTGAAAAGGAACAGAACAGCAGTAGAGTTAAGGCTAAACACAATGACTTCAGTCTTATGATCATTAAAAGTAAAAAAAAAAATTAAGCCATCCATGCCTTAATTTCATCAAAACATTTTAACAGAGAATGAATGGAGCAAGAACTATTAGGTTTTAAGCGCAGAAAAATCTGACAATCATCAGCATAGCAGTGAAAAGAAAGACCATGTTTCCTCAGGACAGACCCTAAAGAGAGGAGACAGAGTGAAAACAGAAGGCATCCAAGAATCGAGCCCTGTGGGACCCCGCAGGAAAGAGGCACTGAAGCAGATACACTATTACCAACCTTAACACAGAAACTCCTGTCGCTCAGATAGGAACGGAACCATTCTAATGCTGCACCTGTAATCCCAACCCAGTGTTCTAACCGAGATAAAAGGATACTGTGGTCAACAGTATCAAAAGCAGTGGTGAGGTAATTGTGTTTATCATCCTCTGTTGCAGAGGCACCATCTCCAACTGCCACACGGCAGCCAGCAGCCCCAAGGGGCCCTAGAGTCCCCGCTCGTCCAAACCCGGTCAGAAGAAGGATGAGGAAGAATCGCAAACGGATCAGCAAGGCAGCTATGAGAGCGATGCTGATGTAGATCTGAAACGAAGCCAGGTGAGCTCACAGGAGACTCTGAAATAAATCAGAATACACAACTTTATAGCAAATTGGATTTAAATGTCTAAAGTGGTGAACATGTCTTCTTTGATATTTTTTGTCTTCAGGAGAATTTTGGGGAACGTTCGAGGATTATCCAGAGATGAATCGAAATATTTATTCCTTGTCAGTAACCAGCTTGTCCCTCCAGTTCTCCTCAGTAACACTACTAATGACTGTGCTGAACCTGTAACTGCTCCCAGATGGAGCGCAGCAGAAGGGACAAAGGAGTGGAAATGGAAGAAGGACCTTCTTCGTGCTCTTTATGAAAGCTGACCGTAAAACAAAGTGGCGCCCAAAGACAAAGTGTTGCTCAAACACCGTGTCTGAGCGGGAAGGAAAGAAGCGTGGCTGTTGAACCGTAGAGGATAGTGCAATGTCCGAACTCTTCCTGGATCCATGTTTAGATATCAGCAGAGAGAAACTGCACTTAAATGCTGACAGAACCAAAGGTGTAGATGGGGGGGGGGGCTTGATGGTGAGAACCTAGATTTATAAAAATAAAAAAAATAAATAAAAGATGGCCAAATCAGAATACGAAGAACGTTTGGCAGCAGTACAACAAAAAACATGTAACTGTTGTGTTGTAATGAGATCATCTGAGACAATCATCATATGACTGCAAAAAGGCAGAATTTCTGTTTAAAATAGTTTGTTTTAACCACATTTACTTCTGTTTAACTCGCTACAAACACTGGAGAATAACTCATATGATTAGAGAACAAACTTTATTTTGCATCATTCTGTGTTTGAGTCTGTCTGTGCCATGATTCTTATTTATTTGTCTTATATTACTGTGTAATAATGTTCTGCACAACTACTGCAAAATAAGACGTCGCTGAAATGCAACGGATTCAGCTCATCTCTGTGTGAGGGGTGGGTTTAAACTTCTGAGACCACCGAGCAGCGTGCGTTGTTCCACGTCCGTGTCATGAAATAACTGTGTGTGTGTGTGTTGTCTGGTGTGGTGTGTGTTTATGGGCTCACACCTACACATCTGTCTTGTTTCTTAATTGTGTTTCCCTCTTTGTTTAATTGAGAAGTGTCTTCAGGGTTGAGTTGACAAAAACAAGCAAACTCATCGTCAAATAAGAGCTAATAAGAAAACAAACTTTGCAAACATAGATCTCATTTTTGTGTCTTGTACATTTTGGTTTGTCGTTAGCGTTAGAAACACTCCGCTGACGTTGATTTTGTGTCCAAAGGTCTTTACCAAATAGCCCAATATTTTTAAGTTATTGAACAGCATGTGCTAACTTACAACTGTTACTTATTGTTGTTTTTTTTTATTATAAGAAATGTTTAAAACAAGAAGACATTTGTGTTTGCCATATAATGCCATCTTCATATGGGAAAAAGAAGATAAGTGCTTAAAATTGACTTTGTGTTTTCATTCCTTTTTAAAATATTTTAGGATGATGCTAATAGGCTAATCATAGCTCGTTAGCATGATAACAAGTTGCCCATTTATACTGAAGCATTAGTTCAGATCTTTTGAAATGGGGTTTTGTGGAAAGCTCATGACTAATTAATATCTTACCTGTCATCAGGACTTATTTTTTTTAACTGATCGATGCCGGAAAGCAAATAGTGAATGGGCCGTGGGGGGTGTGGGCCGGTGTGAGTGTGAGGGGGGTGTGGAGGGAGCTTGTGGGTCCTCCTCCCCCTTAAATTTTGAATAAAGTAGATGCTATTTCCTGTATTTTGGTGCAGCCTATTTTAACGGGTTAAACTTTACGTTTACCTACATTTGTAAACACTTGATTAAATTATTATTTTAGAGAGCAACAAGAGGTTGTGTGTGAATAGAGCAGATCTGATTCTGTCAAGCGTCCCCCCCCCCCCCCACACACACACACACAGTTCACGTTTTTGAGCCAAACTCTTCTCTGAATTCATTCCTGCACGTTTCTCCTGCTGCTCCAATCTCAATTACGACTGCCTCCTCGATGTCCAGCTAAGGACAATCCATCCATCCATTAATTTTATTAAAGTACTGTACATTGGATTGTCTTTTTGACATTTTGATCGCTGTTATTTTGACAAATTCGCGCCGTTGTTTTGATACGTAATTAATGTGAATAATACACACCAAACATTTCTCTCGTTGTATTTTATTTTTACTGTAGCTAAGCTTTTTTATTTATTATGTCTGAA